TAGCTAAGGTTTTAAAGGCCCTAGATGGACTTTCATTTTTTTCTAAGTCAGGATTAACTGGTGTATAAGTAACAGGCTAGGTGCTTTCACTGCCAAAAATTATCTAACTTAAAGTTTGAATCTTGTAGTACAGACAGCAGTCCTGCCTGTACCCATAGAAGCTTGTTATTTTGTGGTACACAAGTTAGTATTCTGTCTGTGCTCTGTAAAAAATTGCATTCCATAAAGTATGAAAAGCCTTTTTATCTGAAACTTGTGTGGAAAAATAAGCAGCGATCAAATTTAACACATAGGAAGGCTTTTCTCTCTTTCTTGTTGTTGTTGTTTTATTCTTCAAGCATTTATTTTAGTTAAGATAGTCTACTTTTAGAGTTGTGAGGTACTTCCAGAAATAAGGGTGCAGATGACATGAATGACTTACTCAATGAGCATAAAAGGAAGGAAAAAGGAAGGAAAAAATAAAACTCATGAAAACCTTCCAATATTTGTGAAAGGCTGCCTGAGTAAGCATAAAAATTTTCTTTAAAAAGCAAACAAACTTATTTTATGCATATACTGCTCTTCAAAAATAATTATTTGATCAAGGTTGCTTAGTCAAATACAATAATAAAGTAGCACATAATTTCTCTGCATGTTTAATTATCAAACTTTTCTATCATTCACTATAAAGAAACATTTTGATTAACTTGTATGCTAGTGAAATCTGCTATTCTCATCATCATGATTACATTTTATAATAGGAAAAGGAGAGAGGAAAAAAAAATGGGTATGTGTAAAAGTCCACTCTGACAAAGAAGCGGGAATTTCTTGCATACTGGGCAAGGCTAAGATTTTGTGAGCTGCAGTAGAAGTATCTTTTCCATGTGATGGAAAATGCAGTGATGCAAAGTCACCTCCTTCTCCCCTGCGGCCCAATCTGTGGCCCAGCATCCCCTGAGTTTCTGTACTGAGCTCCAGATCGCGATACTTTGTGACCATCTCATGTCATGTGGGCAGTGGCCTGCTGGTTTCACAGCATTTGAGAATTACTTAGATAAGAGTTGGCCTCCCCCACCTTCAAGATTAATTTCTAGAAGTATATGTCATGTTTGTTAGGATAATAAGGATTTGCTTTTATTAGTATTTCAATACTAATAAGTCATTAAATGATTTTCCTATAAAAGTTTTCACTAAAATCCTTGCAATTACTTATTTACTCAATAGATGGGACATGGCAAAAATGCTTGACCTTTTCTTTATCAAATAGCTGTAACAACCAAGCATTAACTAGCTATTCATCAAAGCATCAGTATAATGAGGAATCACCTTCACCTTACCAAGAGAGAAACAGAGTAAGTAGTACTACCCCATAGCAATAAAAAAATCTTGTTTGGGGCAGACCCAAAACTTAAAAAAAAAGTTGTCCTTTTTTCCTGCCATCAGCAAATAATTTTATTTAATTAATTTCTTAGCAAAAAGATTAACCTAACCTTTCATGGAAGGCTGTGGCCATAGACTCCCTCAACTTCCCTAGAAAGAATGTACTGATTTATCTACTATAAAAGAGCAAAGTAAATAGCTCATACTCATTTGCTGAAGAAGCATCTCAGTGGAAGCCAGTATCTATCCCTTTAAGGGCATTCAGACAACTGCAAACAACACAAATAGCTGGAGTTTAAAGCAGTTTGTGAACCACTTACACAGAAAAGCTTTTCCCACATTATTCTCATTTTGCTGATAGGAAGTGAAAGCCTAGAGCCCTGTTTAAGATCACTCAACACCCCTATAACCAAGACGGGCAGAGAAACCACAGACTTGGCGTCCAACCCTCAGCCTACCAGTGGGATCACCTTCATGAACAACTCAGGAGAGATTTTGCTATGTTGCACAAACATAGTACTGTAACACAAGCTATGAGTCAGGATGGCAAACCATTGCTAGTCCCTTACACAGTTTGAGAGACAATGGCTTTTAAGATGCCCTCCTGCTAAGCCTTCCTATTTCTAACTAGGAAATGCAGACAAGCTGTCTGCATTGATGATGACATAGGTAAATTAAATGGGATCAGTAGCATAAAAATGTGTATCCAGGACCATTTTAATGATTTGCCATATATATTCAGCAAGACAATAGTCAGTGAGCAAAAAAAAAAAAAAAAAAAAAGCAGCCACATGTTCTGCACTATGTGTTAGAATGGGGCAGGAGCTAAAACTCACTTAAGAGACACATAATCATGTTGTTGAGGTGTGCAACTTTTTCCACAAACAACAGTTGCTTCTTATAGAGATGTACCTACAAATTCCCTAGGGTACTGGTGTGTTCTTGCTTCTAATATTCTATGTTTGGGGTTTTTTTCTTCCTTTTACTTTGGGATATCAGCCCCATTTATTCAGTCCAATTGTTTATTATCAGAGAGTCAGGATAAACCCGTAAGTTAGAGTATTTAAATCATTGCATCCACATTCAGGAAAACTGCAGTAAAAAATATTATTGCTATGGAAACACCAAAATGTTATCTAGACTGAGCATTCCCTATACCTGGCCTGAAGGGCTCCAGGAGCAGCAGATAGGCTCTGTGCTTTGCCCCAAGTACACATGGGCATTCATGGCACCATGCCCACAGTCCTGGCTCTAACAGAATACTAAACTGTTATCCATTCAGATGAGAAGCATCATGTCTACTTCGTATCTGACATGAATGGGATGCAACTTTGGCTTTGTCCATGCTTAATTATAAAGCAAATAGCAGCTCATGGTGATGTCCACCCCTCATCTGGATGACCTATTGTATTACAGTATTAATCTTGTTGTTAAAAATAGCCTGTTCAGGCAAACATACTGATGGTCTGGTGTCTGTACAATGAACATCTCATAACATGAGGTCAATAAAATTGTTTTCTGTACCTCCAGATCAGAAAACTAAACCAAAAAAACACCCTCACTTATCCTATCAAGCAAATATGCAAATGTTGGAGATTTTCCGTTACCTCTTCAATTTTACAAAAAATATATTAGCTTGATTGCCTGCTCCTCAAACCCTCGTGATTTAATTTTGTTGCTCTATTTACATTTGTCTTTGTAAACCAAAATATATGATATTCACAGTTCACGACAATTTTTGAACTTTAACAGTTTTTTTCATAGTACATTTGAAGCCATGAGCAACACACAGTAACTGCTGAAACAGTAGTAGGCTGTGGACTGTTCTCCTACACTCCACCTGCCCCAGTAAAGCCCTTCTAATGTTTGATGCCATATTATTTTGTCAATGCAGTTTTGTGTCAGTAACTGCATTAAAACCTTTTGCTCAAACACTCAGTGACACCACACTTCCATAACTATCTACTCGCTACATATGTTGTTGGAACAAAACTTTTTGTAGTAATACATAAATTGTTTAAAATGCTGTCAAACTACCACAAGTTTTACACTTGGAGAAAAGAGTACTGGACTACAAAGCAAGGGACATAACTTTTCTAGCAGCATTATTAAAGGGGACTATTTTAGTCTTCAGTGATGGGGAACAGGCTGTAGCATTTTTTCAAGTTCAGAACAGAAAATAACTGTACTTGCAAGAATTCAATTACTCTGCATTAAAGCTGCCATGGGGTTACTGTACATTTATATATCAGAAAGTCAGTAAATTATTTTTCTATAAATTAGTCTCTCAAAGATGATTTTTTTTTCCTTTCTGTTCTGAATGCCAAACTCCTGACTGCTTCTCCACTACAGGGACTTCATATCTGGATAGCCGACATCTGTAAAAACATTTCTAATGAAAACACTACTAATACAACCCCCCGGAGAAACAAATGAAATGAGATCTAAGTATGCAGCCGTCTTTATATAGCTCTGTCTTTAACAATAGCAAGGCTAGTGCTTCCCATCCAAGCCTTGACACAGGTCATGATCATTTAGGCACAGTAGTAGCAAAATAAATAATTGTGTAAATATGTAATAACTGGTATAAATACTCCAGTAGCACTTAGAAGATATGATAAAAGACTTCTGTTTTTAGCTGTGCATTAAGGTTTATCTCAGTGGATGGAAGGGAGAAGCATTTAAACTGCAGTGAAGGAGAGCTGCAGATTGAATACTTAAAAGCTCAGTGCCAGATACAACAATGCTTCTTTTCCACAACAGCAGTTTAGAAAGCATATTAGTGTTAAAAGTGTTGGATCACTATTGAAATATTACAGAAACAGTGGTTAGAGATTTGCTCCCAAATAAAAAAAAAATACTATGAAGATCAGTAATGTAACTATATACTTAAATAATTCAGATTCAAATAAAAACTGCACTATTTCTAAAATAATTGGACATATTTTTTTCACAGATATATGTACAAGCATTCCGCTGCTTTAATATATAAACAAGAATTTAGACACAATTTTTCTGTGGAAAAATCTAACAATTATTAGGAGAAAAAGGTCTATTTCTTTGTAAGATTTCCCAACTTAGTGAATGCTCCGTATCAATCAAACACTCCATCCAGGTTTCCAGCCCTACATTTAAACCTGTAGTAAGTAATTTGAGGCAACAGCAAGTCCTTACCACTGGAAGAAAAACTACCACATAAAGACACAGGGAGGGATCATCTGCCTGAAGATCATAATCAAAAAACAGTGCTTCTAAATGCCCTAATTTCAAAGTGGACTAGTGCTTTTGCTAGACTAGACTAGACTGTACAAGTACAGGCTATAATCAGTTTCCTTATGCAAGTTCTGGGCCCAAATCCTAAGGCAGACGACGTTGGAACTGATTTGACATGGAAGTGACCCCCCCCCACCACCTGGGTTCACAGAAATGTATTGGCAAGGGTACTCGGTTTGAAACCATTCCATCAGCTTCCCTAGTGAAACCTGGGTGCAATAAAATCAATAGCACTTTGCCAGAATTCCAGGAGGGTCTAGCAGTTGCTCCTCTTCCCACCATGTTTTCTCTGACCTATGGAACCAGGACTGAACCTGCAAACACAAGTCTCACTTCCAGCAGCCTTTATTTATCGGGTAAATTAAAATGAGCTTCTTATTCCATGCATTTGTTCTCATGCAATGGAGATTGAGATACAAATTTTGAGACATTTCTGATTAAAATATGGTTGTTGGTCTTTCCACTGAATAAGCTCTAAAACGGCTTTGAAGTAATAAAAAGGCAAATGGAACCCAACATAAAAATTTTCTTTGAAAGACAGTAACATTGAGCTCATGTCTGCTATACATATCTACTACAAACATATTTTGCTTCTGGACTAGTTCAGACTGAAGTAGAGACAAATTGTGCTGGAAAAAAATTAAAACATACAGCTTAAATTATCCAGAATTTCCTCATTCTAATACAAACAATGAACACTAAGAGTAATGATTATAAAACAAAACATTCTATGTAAGTAGTTTTAAAAATCACACAATTTATGCTTTGCACCTTGTAAGCTGTGATCTTTCAAAAGGCTAAATGGACCCAAAATGGCTTAAATTAAGTTCATAAATGTTTTTAAAAAACAAGCATTCTATGTTTCATTTTACTTTGATTTGCGAGAAAGAAAACTCAAGTTTCTTTTTAAAACATACAGCAACATGATTGCAATTTTTTTACATGCAACAGAAGAGACTCAATTAAAAAAATCATTAAAAAACTGAAAAGTGACAATTAACTTTCATTAACAAGTTTTTTATTTTATAGATTCAAGCACTAAAGACAGTCATATGACTGGAAATAGTAAACAAAACTTGCTCAAATCCATAGTTAAAAAATAAATGCCAAGTCCTTAATATTTACTTGAATTTTAATTTTATTTCATAAAATAATACACCTGAAAATTCATAAAATACCAGTTCAAAAATCAACCAGTAATGAAAATTTAGTCAACACTGTCTTTGCAATATTTAAGTCTCAGGCACCCTCCAGTGTCTAGAGAAGAAACTACACAAGTGAGCAAGCATTTGAAGAAAAAAAGCCATGAACGAGTTTTCCTGTCAAGATAGAAGCTTCCTGCATCATTAACAATAATTGCATATAACCCTGTATCAGTGATATCACACTCCATGATGTAAAAAGTATTGTAAAATTGCATTTCATGGATTTCTATGGGACTTAAGAGGGTGGTATTTTCTTTGCTAGTGGAGAGGGATCTCTAAGCAATCTCTTAGAAAAATACTTTTAAAAAAGCATTTCTTACAAAGTCTGGTATTAATAAGTATTTAAGTATTCCTCAGGGAATATGATCTCAATGTTTATACAGCTTGTTTATAACTTTTCTAAGGAGTCTAAATGAATAGTTTATTTAGCAGGACTTACACTCATTGTAAGGAGGAGGACAAACAATGCATGGAGAGCTAAAGCCAGATACAAATACCCCTCCTCCCATTTTATAATTAATACCACACAAAACTGGAAGGTCACATGTATACAAGCCTCTCTATGAAAGTTCACTGATTTTATGCAAAAACCTAAACCACTAATTTTTCCATAGGTATCTTCGTTCATTTTAAAAGTAATAAATCATAAGATGATTTTTTACTTGACATTCAAATGGAAGTAGTTGTGACTACAGGACAGACAAGAATGCCTGTTGAATGGACAGGGTTCTAAGTTACTGTTACTAGGTAAATCTACACAAACCTAACAGAAATGGAATGAAAGCTGGAAAACAAAAGTTTTTCAATTGTGATTATGGACAAACTAAAGTTAATTATGGATTTCTCCCTTGCACACTGTCAAACAAGAACTTCATATACAATTTAAGTGGTATTGAGTGAACATGTTTTGAAACACATATTAAGTAACTTGAAATTGGTTACATCCTGATTAAAAAAAACACCTTGACTTAGAAAAGATCTTGTTTTATGCTTGTGCTCAGAATTATGGCTTCAGGTATCTTTCCTCATTAGGGATTGATATAAGAATGCATGTGTACTTCTGAATAAGGTCTTCATCCTCCTGGGTATAGCCTTACTAGGACATGTGCAAAACTGCTAGGGCAACCCTGGACAATCAGGCTAGTTAGTAACTGATTCGGCTTCAGTTTCATAAGGATTGATTTTTCCCCCTCACACTCAAAACCTTATCTCTTATTTACTACATAACTTAGTTATGTTAGCTGCAGTCAGAGAAGCAAAAATTTATTATTTGTCATTTAGTAAAATGGGTCAGTGTTTTAGTTCCGCTCAGAATTAAGGGTTTCGTCAGAGAAAACAGCTGATGTCAATTTGCCCTAGTCTAGCTGAAGATATTTTTAAAAATGGAATGAAATCATAACAACATTGACTAAAAACCTCTTAGAATCAATATTAAAAATATTACTAATAACCCTAGTCAGGGGGATACAAAAAGAGGTAGGAAACATCTCAGAAGAGGGTACACAAGATAAATATATTTACACACCTACAATCATATATATATATATATATATATACACATATGAGTATAAAAACATTAAAAAACAGTAATTGCCCCCATAAAACTTACAACTGTGCTTAACTTGACATGTTGCAAGCATTTACATTGACTTCAAAGAGAGCTGACCATAATGTGCAAAACAAAGCGTGATGTTATATATTTCACAAAGTACTATAGGCTTATAAAAGTCACTCTATTCAGATTTTGGCTCTAGAACTTTTTGCATGTTCTTAAACAGTGATGTTCCTTTTTGCAATTGCCTCTCTGATTTGACGATCAAGTTCACTCACAATATGGTCTTCATGATTATAGACTCCTGTTCTCAGCAGGGTATCCCTCTCTTCTATCAGACGAGAGAGGTAATCATCTGTATTCTCATTTAGTTTTCTACAATGAATACTATCCACTCTACCAGCAGAATTATCTCTAGCATCCTGCAATTTCTTTCTCTCCTCTTCTTGTTGTTTTAGCCTGATATAGATAAAATAAAAATTAGAGAATATTAATCCTCACTTGGATTATCTACTGAACTACAGAGTAAAATAAACAAATCTGGAGAAAACAACTACAACTAAAAAGAAATGCAATACTTAAATATTAACAAAACCTTTTGTAGGTGTGTATCTAACTGTACTTGCTATCAAAGCTACTGCTTGGTAATGTAAACTGCACTCAAATTAAAAAGGGTTCAACATAGAAAACTAGTGCAGACAGCTTTTGGAGGACAACATGAGATAAATTTAAAATTTTAATGTATTCAAAATAAGAATAAAATGTGCCTTGTTCTTTTCTTAATGCAGCAGCTATGCTTAGAACTGAAGATTTAAAATAGACAAAGAGCTTGGTGCTATACATCTGTGACCTTAACAAAAAAAAAAAAAAAACAAAAACCAAAAAAAAAAAAAACAAAAACAAAAAACCAGGTGGTGTTAAACATGTATTTTTCTATACTGCTGTACTGTTGCATTTTACAAATAGGCAATCTTTACCTAAGGGATACTAATCTGTGTTCTTTCACTGAACTGACAGCAAATTATAATCTTGATTGAATTGAATCTTCTCCTGTTTTGAGACTCACAGCAAGAAAGTAGAAGGAAAGGTGACAGTTGAGGAGGAATCTTACAAATACTTTTTATACCTGTTAAGTTCATTTCTGATATCCTCCAGCTCTTGTCGGTCTGTTTTCCCCAGCTCTTTCTCTTCTGCTGCCAAATACCGCAACCTCATGTGCTCAAGCTCTTGTTGCTGCTTTTTAAGGTGAGCCATTGCATTTTCTTGTTCACGCTGTGTGGGAAAGGGTGCATTTTCAGTTGACTACGTGATTACATGTAAAAGTGCTAATTATAGCGACAGAGCAGAACTTTAGGAATGAAGTTAGAACAATTACATCTCCAGGAGTATTAGAAATGTAGGAGTTAACAGAATGTCTTAGCTAGTGGAATTTATAATGCAGTAAGACCACTGACTATCACCATCACAGTAAACCTGTCCAGGCTGGATCAACTGCAGCCCCATCACAGATATCTTCCCATTAACAAAATAGCAAAATTATTAACAAACCCTCTTACTAACTCTAGCTTAAGTTGTTAGACATGAAACTTACAGTTCTGGAACTGCTCAAGCTACTGAGATTTATTCCTTCAGTATATACTATATGAAATAGATTTTTTTGAGAAAATAAAAGCTAAATAGCTGCAGGAAGCTTCCATCATCAGCCATCAGCCCCAGTGACTAGTATCAAAGCTTTAAAAACTGCTTTTCAAAATTACAACGTGGTTAAAAAATAAGCCTTGGAAACAAATTTCTGGCAAGGTGTCCTTTTGTGTAGTACTATGTAAAATTTTAGGTAACTTACTTTGCGGGTTTAATGACGTCAGTCTATCCATTCTAAACATTTGTTTGGCTCTAATTTTTAAGCTCTATACAGATACTAAAAAAATCTAAGGTTTGAATCCACTACCACTTCATGATATCAAAGTGGTTCAGTAAACATGGTCCTCTCTTGACTTATTTTTCTCCCAGCCATTTTCCATTTCCATGACCTTGTGCACTAACTGTGTACAGCCAATCTTACACCCAGATTAAGACAGAAGACCTCAGGTAATTAAAAAATAAGACAGGAGTTACATAAACATCCTGGATCTAGGCATATTGTGAAGTGCACATTTATCTTTGCAATTCTGACACTGCTTTCATCTAGAGTGTTTGATTATTAATATAGTCTGTATTATATTTATTATGTGGGTTAAAAAAGGTAATTTCTTTTTTTGATGTGTGTAAGCATATTATTTACACAGTCAACCTCATATTATTTGAAAGACTTTAATAAGGTAGTTTCCTGAATTCCAGCTGCCAGCATTTTAAACACTTCCTGTTGATGATCAATAGTGGGCAAGAAAATCTGAATTTCAAAAGGAATTGGTATTAAAAAGAGATTTCAACTGTTAATGTGAACAGACAACACAATAGAGAAGTACTCAACAAGAAATCAACCCTAAAGACTCTAAAAACTTTGTTTTTATACTAAATCCAATACACCAGCCAGCCAAATTAAATGTTAAAACTTCAGTGAGACAGGTTATAAATCTTGAAGAACATCTTGCTAAAGAGATACATACTAATAAAAAAACCAGAAGCAGGAATCCTGCCAAAGAGTCTACAGCTGATAGATGACTGAAGCATAGAAAAAGCACTTGGTGAAGATAAGGCCACAGTCCTTCCTTCTCCATCAAGAATTCATTGCAGAAGAACATTCCCATGTGAGAGAAACCCTGTTTTATGTGGGAAAGGGTTGAAGAATACTGTAATAAAACCTATTCTGCTTCAGTCTGAGAATAATCTACAAATACATCCAGTATACGTATGTATGTGCAGATTAAACAAATTACTTAAAACAGGTTACTACAGACTGCTGGTATTTAGAATTTTCAAGAGTTATAAGAAAATCCAAAAAGTTGTGACACTGACTAGAGGTTAGTCTTAATCCATCACCAACATTGGTGTTTATACCACAGGAATAACCATTTTTCCATTTTTTATTTTATTCTTTCTTTAAATAGAGGCCTTAGAAATACCCAGAAAAGTACCAGCAGAACTTAACTTCAAGAGCGGCCAAAATAGTTGAAACCATAACTAAACCCAAACCTAACAGGTCGTAGGCGTACACCAGGAATAATTAATCTAGCTTTTAGAGAAAAGTCATTCTTCCCACCAGTCTCAAAAAACTCAACCAAACACCACACTAAAGAAACCTCCTACCACACACATAACTAAGCAGTCACAGCAAAAAACACTCAGCTGATTTAGGGTTTAGAACAAAGTTTTGAATGAAGATAGACATTTATGCCTGAAAACAAATACTAAAGTACTGTTGAAGTATTTGAAACAAGAGGCAGAGAGCGGGCATAACTCAAAGTCTGTAAAATTGGTGTATCTCAATAATTCTGTGAGAAAATTAATTTTGAAGGTACATTGTACAAATATTGACCAAAACCTGAATACCGCAAAACAGAGTAGCACTTGTTACTAGGACAGCAATGCTTTCACATAAATACAAATCATCACACAGCTGCGACTGCACTGAGTAGAAGCCTTCCAGTCTAGTCCTTCAGTTTATGAAGTATATTACTCCAATCTATGAGGGAAAATTTTAAAAGTGTTCTTCCACCTGCACTGCAGAAGAAAGGCATAACTGCACGCTGGCCAGAAGCAGCATGTGCAACCACAGGTTTCATGACATGCTGATGTATTACTGCTTGAGGCAGAGAAGCTCAATGATCCACACATTTCTGCTGCCCAGCAACAGAAATGCTCACAATGGCAACCTGAGAGCAAAAAAGGCATTTCAGACTAGCTTAAAGAAGAGGCATATGTTAGAAGTACATTTCTTAAGGTTAATAGAACAATGTGTATTTTAAACTGCATCAGACCACAAAGAGGACACACTACTCCCAATGCTTTCATATTCATCAGATCATTATTTAATAGATTGATCCTTTATGTCCTCACTAAACGAATTCATTTGAGAACTGTAACTTTCAAATAAATATATTTAATAATGTTTAATTAAGCCAATAAAAAGACAGAATGATGAAGAAGCCAAGGAGAGAGGAAGGAAAAGCAAGGCTTTTCTGCAGAATCCTTGGTTCAGTTCCTGTTCCTTTCGATATCTTTCTCTGGAGAAAAATTCTATTAAAAAATCCCAATAAACACAAAATCAACCAAAACCAACGTCACTAGTGAGCATGCTCTTTACTAGAGATAATAGTCCTAGATTTGGAGGGAAGCAAGACTATAAATACCGTGTGTGCTAAAGTCTTGTTTACTCAATAGAGGAGAGAAAAACCTTTACAGTACATTTTGTCTCCAACCTAATATTGGGTAGGAATTCCTTTCAGATAAATGTGATTTGATCTCTAATTTGATTACTAATAAAATTGTGATGCAAACATGGCAAATATTTGGCACTTACTTATTTAGGGTGTTGGGGGATAAGTCCAGATTAATTTAAGTCACTGAAAGTCAAGAATTTTAGAAGTGTGTCATGCTATGGCCCTGAATAACAATATTTAAGCACAATAATATTAAATTAAAAAAAAAAAATCAACATTTGCTGAAGCAAGATTTTCCTCCCATTCATTTCATGACAGTCCAGCTTGGAAAACAGACACTAAAACAAGTGAGAAGGGATTCTTTCATGATTGATCCTGTGTGTAATTTACATTACACACTTCATATTCTGTGCTTTTTAAATGTCTTTCCCAACATTAGTCTTTGACTCCTTTAAAAAGTCTGTCATAACAATTTGTAGGGTGCATAACAGAAAATTTGTTCTATGTATACCATTCATAGCAGAGCACGAGAAGCCCATTTCCTAATAATCCATCAATACAAGAAGATGGCAAAGGATTTACAACAGTTTGATAAGAAGGGAGGCATGCTCACTTTAAATTAATTTATATACAATTTTGTTATGATATGTTGAGGGACCATAAAAAGACTGTATTTTGTTATGGTGAGAGAGAAGGAAGGATTTTTTTATTCATCTCATGTCACTTTATCAGACACTAAGGTATTAAATCCACTTTTTCCATGACAATGTAAAAACCACTGAGCAACATCATCTTTTTTAAACAGAGAAGGAACAGACCTCTATTCTATAGTAGGACTTGAAATGTAGCAGAATTTATTATGAGATGTTTCAAAGTAAAAATTCAATAGAACACCTCTGCACATTTACTTTATGCATACAATTAAGTCAAACATTACTAAATCCCCTTGTTGAAACAAAAATCTTCATTTTATTCTGTGCATATATCGAAAAATTGAGTTATAATTGAATACTTGGTATTCTTCAAGTGTATCTCAGTGCACACAAGTTTAAGCATACATGCTGCGTGCTGAAAATTCTCAGTCAAGACTTTCTGGGTAACTTTCCAAATTTTTCTCCTATAATATGTCCTAAAATAAGGAATATTTCAGCTTTATTCCCAACTGCTTATTCTAGACAGTCAGGCTATTTCAAATCTCAGTAAGAAGTACTACAATTTTTGTTCCTAACATTTTGCATTTTTAAATTTTATCTAAGGGAACACTCCAGAATCATCAGCTGCCGGACTAAAGGCAACTTCGTGAACAGAATATAAAACCCACCAGAAACTCAGAACACTTGGAAATATATTATATTTGCACCATCACCCAATAATCAGCCACTACCCCACAGTTAGGCAGCAACAGATGAATCAAGAATATCATATGCAAGAACATCAAGAGTTATCTCTGCAATATCTATTAGCTGGTCCAGATACCTTCTCCTGCACTACTTCCTCAGCACTGCTAATCCTGCTACTCTATTGCTCCTTTTCCTTCACCTCCTTAAATAAAACTCACTGACAATATTCCTTTCACTTATTAATATTTTTCCATTCTCCTCCACAAACAAAATAAATCCATACCAAACAAGTCTGCATTCTAGTTATCAGATGACATACTTCAAGGTTTTACTGCTTTTGCTCACCAGTTTTCATCTCTAATGTAGTGCTTGAGGAATGCAATACCATTTTAGAAGCTTGTATGGTGGAAATCTCAATCATGTTTTGAAACTTATACCACAGAAGTATCAGCATTTAACAAAAATGAACTGATAATAAAAAAAATCAAAATTTGAATTATAATCAGATCATTAAAGAATCCCTGTATGCCACCAGGTGCTTTAGTTAAGAGGCTCTTCAATCAAGGAAGCACAATCTTTATTTTGCCATAGCTGCCCATAAATCCAAAAGGGAGATGTAAACATACATACACTAGACTAAACAATGGCTAAATAGCAGCCACTATTCACTCTCCCACTCATACATACCATGCAAGTCTGTGGGAAAAACTTACGATTGAAGCTAAGGAGCTCAAGTAAAGTTTTCTGAAAATAACCCAGAGCTGACAAGTCAGTAGGAGGGCCTGGATGGTTTCAAGACACAGTTTTTAACCAAGATTTAGACTTTCAACTCTGGGGTTTTTTTATGTGCATATGTGTGCCTTTTTATTTTTTTTAACAAAGATTTACATCCTATCCTTAGCAAATTACTTATAAATTAATCAAATTAATTACTGAATGGATAAGCAAGGTACTGGACGAGACAGAATGAACTGTCAGCCAGCTAATATTGTCTCCGCTCTTTTAAATAAATACCTCAGTGCTGGTTCTAACAGGTCTGTAGGACACAAACACATTAGAAAACTTATAAAAATACTTCTTCCAGAACACTGGATGCATGTGCATTTTGAGATTTTGGCTATTTAGATTAAATCTGAAATAATCAACTGCTGAAAATGACATTTCTGCCAATTTTGTTTTTGGCTTGATAACATGTTACTTACACCCAGACAGGTACTAAATTTGATATCTAAGTTCTGTTTTAGGGGTGTGCCTGCCGTGCTATGGCCCTGAATAACAGTGTAAGCACGGATGCAATTTCATGTAAATAATGATGATTCCTTGGAGAAATAATGCTCATATAAATAAAAAAAGGAAATCTAATTTGTGTAGCATTTAGATCATCTAGTCAGCAAACATTGAAAGAGTTTTTGAAATCTCCAAAAATTATAATATTTACCTTGGTACAGAGATAAAGTAGTTAATTTGATGACATTTTTGTCTCCCTAGAAGTTGAACAGGGCTATAACAATTGAGGCATTAATACAGACTTTTACTGAGTAACAGAGAAAAGAAAAGTAAGCTGGGTGAAATCTATTGTCAAGCAATTTTACAAACTAATTTAAGTAACTTCTGTATTTTCTAAGTACAGGTAAATATGATGTATGTGTGCCTTCGTGTACTTCAGTAAAACTGGCACTGTGTTTAGCATTCCAAGTCCTACCCATGGAGAAGCTTAGATCATGGTCTATTAACAGTCCCATACTTTAAGTTATGTGCTGTGTCTCTTATATTCTGCAAAATATAAAACTATCCCAGATGTGTGCTAATAACTAGTTCCAAAGCAAAAGAAAACTTTTTAATTAAGAAAACATTGACTTTTATGGTTGCAAATCAGAAGAGCGTTTTACTAAATGCTTAGCCTGTAGATTATGCTTCTTTAATTCACAAATTGACTGCACCAGGTCACCTTTAAGTAATGGAAATCTGTTTAAACATTTTTTTGGCAATGGGCACAAAGCATTAGATCTCATTTCCAAGACTTACCAGCTGGGTTTTGTCATTAACATTTATTAACAATCTAAGATATGGCTTTCAGCGTCTAATCCTCACTACACAAATGTTTTGTATAGTTCTCTAGAGAGCTTTGGTGTGACAAATTACTGGCACAGATTACAGCCCTGTGGCTATTCACCAGAGGCAACACAAAATTAACATGGTACTAATCCAATTCAAACACGAAATTGGTCAGACTATGCACAATTGCACAAATCATCTGAACGAAAGCAAATCTAGAATTCCTTAACCTACAGTTTCCAAATTTATATTTAAAGCACAGTAAATTTTTTTTTATCAGATTTGCTTCAACTTTTATTTGGCTCTTTAAAGTCACTTAAAACCTTTATCAATTGAAGAAGTATAGATGAAGCACAGGAGTATAGAAACAATAAGAAACTGCATTAAAAGGGTTTGGTTTGTTGTAGATGTTTTAGGTAGCATAATTCACGGTACATGCCAACTTATTTCATGGTTCAGACTTGCATCAAGAGGTTCAGTTGAAACCATCAACATATATTAATGAATTCAGTTCACCAGGTCTATGGAGATGAAATTTGTAACAAGAACCTGATGGTAATATACATTAGTGTTAGTGTGGCAAGTGACAATCTTTGCTTTTATTCTATGGGAAATTTTAAAACATGGCAAGAAAAAATAGGCTGGATATTTCATGACTGCTGAAGCAATCACAATCAGAGGGATAAGATTTATATTTCTCCTATCACCTTCTCAAGCATAGATGTTTCACAAATTGCAGATGACTCCTTTTATCACTCTGTGAAAAAGGTACAATTTGAAGACTGCAAATGAAGGTTAGATTTAACTTACTAAAAGTCATTGTGGTGTGCATTGACTCTCTTCAAACAGAAATACAGATTAAAGAAGCATTATAAATTAGAAGAACATGGGCTTAACTTCTTATTCTCCAAAACCTGAACATTCTATTAGTAGAAATGAAGCAGGTATCATAATCTGTAAGAAAACCCAATGCTGTTCCTCAAGCTAGAAGTAGGTGTGAATACAGGCAATAAAAACATTTTACTAAATGTGAATACTGAAGCGCTGTGTTTATGTCAAGGTTTGTTCATGAATCATTTTGGATTAATGATCTACTAATTTGTTTGTCAGGGCCAATGGAAATGCTAGCCATTCTTAAGCACATAGTTTAGCTGATGTTTACTGGAATTCATGAAAGACAGATGACAAAACACAACATGTAATACAGATTCAACAAGGATGAAGCTGCTACTACTGCATGTTTAAACAGAGTAATTTCAAGTCAAAAGTATATAACTGTATCTGTATAGATGCCCACAGACGTACAAGAGCTCTGTTAAAACCTAGCAGTAAAATAGCATATTACATTAGTATGAGGTTAGAATTTCCAAAAGCAGAGAAAAAATTCACATCCAGCTTAAGTTTTCTTCATTTTACGCATTCATCAAAACTTAAACCCTTATTTCTAAAAGTGAAGATTTTTTTCTCATCTTTACCCTTCATTCATTATACAATTAAAATACAAAACACATATTACGTAACTGACTAAGGTGGTTGGGATTGTGGCAAAATATTTTTCTGGAAGTGCTGATGCAGAATTATTTGGAATTAAATTAAACCTTTTATTTTTCTAATCATATCTGATTTTAAATAGTTCCGTCTTCCTTGCAGGTCTGAGTCTTGGTCTTTCCCGAGTTCAAAGTCAAACACAAGCCAGTTTTGCTGTTCTCATTTTTGTTAAAACCATAGCTGAGAGCTTTACTTTGCAAAAACAAACACTAATAACATGAAAACAGTAGTTAACAGTAATCCCTAGTAGCTTCCAACACGACAATAACTTGGTTGTCTCATATGACCAAAGAAAACCTGCATACCTGTTTTAACCTTGCAAGTTCTTTCAAAGCCCTCGTCCATTGTTGTTTGTAGTGAAGCTTTGACTTGGTAGCTGACTCTAACTTTCTTTCAAGTTCAACCTAAAAGCAATTAAAATCGTATCAGCTGAAGCAATAACAGCAGTAACAATCACTGAAAGATGTATATATACAAAGGGTCTGGTTTAAGAAAAGTGTTTATGTAGCGCAATATACAACATCATCTAAAGCTGTTATACAATATAACATAAATATTATGGCACAAGAACATTTTCTTATTTAAAATATAACCTTATTTTTATTGGATGGCCGTCTATACAAAGAAAAAGATTAGTTTTTAGCACTAAATCTGCTGATGTAACCTTTATATTTAAGATTCTCAGATCAGCCATCCCCACATCCCTTTTTATTCAAAGTAAGGTTATAAACACTAATTTAATGAAAATGCTGATGGATAAATCTCACTTAAAAAGGTACATAGATTTTTTTTTTTTTTAGTTTGCTGATGGAAGATATGGCCTACATTATTTTCTCTGAAATACCCATCTGCTCAAACCAATCTTTAAAATCTCTGTATCTAGTGTGAACCTATGATCTTACTAACTAAATAAATCTTTAAAAGTTTCAACTGCTAAAAAATTCATTTATCTGTGCAAAAATTTTTGAACTAAAAGACAAATGAAAATATTTATGAAGCACACAAAACAAAAAACTATGTATTTTTCACATCTCTGAGGAAGTGCATTTTGGAATCTGACAAAAATTATTTTCATTAAATTTGTGAAGATCTTAAATCTTAATTTGTTTAATTCATCTGACAAACATAGAAAATCTAGAAATATTTAATGTAAGAGCTTAAAAACTCTGTAGAAACACAAAAATATTTTGTATCAGTTGCTTGCATTATTAGAAATTATTTAAGCATACAGCAACATACAGACAGGCCATATTACTGAGTATATTTTTTTGCCAAGAAGCCTGGCCAAATTTTTTTCAGCTTATTTCATCAACAGTTTTACTCAAATCTCACAATAATTCTGAGCATTAAATGCCCATATCTGTGGTTTTAATTAAATGCTCTACTGTGGGAATATATGGCTTAAAGCAAATCAACTTATGACAACGATTCCATTTTATTGATAAGTGACACAACCTCTTAGCAGAAATACTTAATTACCAAAATGCAAATAATGGAAAACCAGTTTAAATTAATCCTCAAGAAAATCATCATCTTTCTTTCGTTTTTTAAACAGAATGTTCAGAGACCCCATCATAAATTATGATTTAAATATATGGGTTATGGTTTTTTCCTGTGTTAGCCTCTAACATTACTGCTTCCTCTATAAAAATGAGGCCTGTTAACGTTATTTGTGTCTGACTATTTAAACTCTGAAGAAATTACTGGAAGAAGTAAACCAAAATGGTCAAATTAACACTTCATGAGACAGTAGTATTCCACATCCTCTTCATCAGTGAACACACCATTGTGACAATTTTTAAGTATTAGAAAAATCCAATATACCTTTTCTAAAGTGAGAAGATTTATTTCTGATTGTAGCTGGATTTCTGGTTTGCTACTTTGCTGTTCTTTGTATTGCAGGAACTCCTTCTCCAAAGTCTTATGCTTATTTTCTGCTTCAAAAAGCTACATTAAAGAAACCAAAATGCAAGTTAGCAGAAAAGCCCATTCACAGACAAATAATTAGATGACAGAATTTAAGTTACTTCCTAGTCCTTGGAACAAACATTTTACTGTCAATTATCTGATATAAAACAGACACTGAAAGTCACACATTCATAATTAATGATTTCTTGATGATGGCACACAGCAATGTTTTAATAGGAAGAGTTTTAAGGAGGATCTTTGCTCAGTACTGGAACAAAAAAAAAAACAAACAAGTCTGTCCTCATAAACATAAGATCAAGATTTATGTACAATTTTGTTCACATTTCTAAAACAACTTGCAGAAGAAATACAGAAAGCATAATACTAAGATTTACATATCTTTTGAAGAAAGCCAATGTTATCTACTATATGAACTTTTATTACTTACTCAGTTTCACAGCGTAACTTTTTTAGGAATGTCTGTGAAAGGAAACGACTAATACTTTGTAAAGCAAAATGATTTAGAAGAAAGGCTGAAGCAGAAAGGCTTCAGTGACTAATGACTTAATGCTGAGTACCTCTGACCTCACAGTGTATTTCCACAGTTTCAAGAAGATTTTTATAAAGAGAGTGCTTTGTTTTTTACACACTACGGGTAATTTGAAAAATTATGCCAACACACAATTACTTGCTACAGGAAAGTAAGGAAGTCAAATGTTTAACAGCGTTTTTTATAATATATTAAAAATACTAAGAACTTTTTGTAATGTTTTCTGCTGTTAAATATTATTCAACTATAAATACCTTAATACACCTGATGGAACAGAAGTATTCCATACTAGAAAATGATCCCGTGTGCTGATCTTGTATTTATGTCCAACTAGATAATAAAAGTATTTCCATTAATTCTATCCCACAGTTTAAATACTGGGTGAAAATGCTTTAGAGAACTCATTTATGTTTCAAAGCAAACTTCTATTTCTACAAAATTTCTGCTAGTACAATAATAGTTTAAGTCTTTGTCTTCTAATTGGGTCAGCTCTATTTTTCTTCCAAATTTCTGCTTTTTGCATTTATAATTGCTACAGAATGGATGTAAGAAAGCAAAGATATTTCCTAGGGAGTGATACAAAAACAGAATTTGCTGTCATTGTTTTTCTCACAGAACTACAATAACCTATTGAACTTGAACAAAAGATACTGTTTAACACCTTTCATTTCTACCTATTTATTTTTAAAGCAGATACAGACATAATGCCAAAGACAATAACGCCAAAGACAATAACCTATTTCTTTTGCTTTTAGAAATATCAGCTCTCCCTTGAACTTCTATAAGAATGTTTAATTTCTTGTTTGGTTCTGGAAACACTTTCAAAAATTGAATTTCTTATGAGAACTCAGAACTGTGGACATGAGGAAACTATAAAAATCCCACAAATAAAGCACAACTTCCTTATTCAGAAAGTAAGGGTGATGATTTTCAAGGTGGATGCTTCAAGGATCAACTCTTGTACACAGCAGGGCTTACCTCAAAACAGGTTGAATTCTAGAGTTCTTCAAGTGTTTAAGTGTGGAAATTGTGTATTGACAAATCCCTTTAAAAGGTATGGAATAAGACTACTTATTCCAGAACATTCTGTGTTAAAAAAAACAAAAAAACAAAAACAAAACAAAAAAACCGCAAACAAACAAAAAGCAAAAACTAAACAAAAAACAAACAAACAAACAAAACAAAAAAAGAAAAGTCACACAGACAAAAAACTCCACACCCAAGAAGGTCTTAGAAAAGAGACTCATCTGGTAGCAACAGAACTTTCTGCTTGTGCACATTGCAAAGCGCAGGGCCCTAGAGTGAAACTCCAAAGTAAGCAAACAAAATCTCACCCCCAACAAAACAAAAGAAAAAAGCATGTCTCACACACAATATGTGGCAACAACCATCACACATTGAAGCATAGCAGGAACAGCACAGAGGAAGACAGCCAGAATGCTAAGGAAAAAATGGCCTTAGTACAAAACAAGAGAAAACATAGTGGGGCTCGTGTTTGGAAGAGAAACAGTATGACAGCCACCTATGCAATCAGGAACAATATGTTGCACAGGCACTAAAGGTTTCTTCATAACTAGAAAGAAATGTGCTTGAAACTAACAAAAAGAAGTTTTAAAATATAAAAGACATAATTAAATTTTAAAACTCACTGCCATAGGATGTTGCAATACTAAATACTTTTTAAAAGGAATCATGTAAGATCATGAAGAAAACTTTCATTGACGGCTACTGAGCATGAAACTGTTTCTGGCAAAGAGTACATACAACCCTTATGGTATGCTGGATATACCAAAACTGCATTTTTTTTTCAGAGTCTCACTTCCTTTTTTCTTATCCTCTAAATCCACCCATTGCTGCACCATAATACTGAGCTAAATGATCTTTCATCTGAGAACTGCATATCTGTTCTGAACAGGAAAAAGAAAGTGATTGTGATGTTTTATTTAGAAAAGGCCTGTTGCAGCTAAAAATGGTCAGTGGGAGCTGAAAGAATGAATATGAATTAAGAATACTAGCTGGTGGTGTTAGGCCACTTGAACAAGAACTACTTGCAGCTGCCAACAACACTTAAAATGCAAAAGTGATCCACTTATCACTCTGAATAGGACTGCATTCTGCAGTTTCTTCATCTCAATTCAGTGAATGCTCTAGTGGAATAGTCAAAATAACTACCTTCAAGGTTAGCAACATTTTTGTCTTAGCTCCATTTTTAAAAAGTTCACTGTACTATGGTTAACATAAGCTAACAAGTAAAGAAGTACATTAATAACAGTATTTATTACAGAACTAAAAAAACTCACAAAAATCTATCACAACTCTTCCTAAGTACAAAAATATGGCTTTGGCTGACACAATTTTTCAAACAGTGAAAGCTAGTATCAGATTATCACTATCACATATCAGACATGAAAAACATCAAAGCAAGTAATTAATCGACATAAACAAAGTACTTTTCAGAACACTTAGGCATTTGTAAGATTTAATCTACTTAATAACAAATTAAGTGTCTAATGCTATAACAGCTAAAAAAAAATAAGTACTAACTTTAACAGTTTACTTTTAATGGTCAGGAAAAATGTCTAGACTGTCCTTGTTGTTAGTGCCAAAGTTAGCTTACACGACAACAGAACACGGTCTAAATTTACTGTTTAGAAAGTACTACTCTCAGAATAGAAGACTGCAATAACAAGAGAGTTTCCCCCTCTGTCCCAGTAAGGATAAAAGAAATCCTCATTTGCAATAGAAGAATAAAACTAACTGCACAGTCAAACTACTTAGATGTTAATTGCCAACAATTTTTAAAGTTACTGAAATGTACACAGCTGTTCAGGTTCTTCATGTAATGTATGCTTTCAAATAAAACTTGATTTCCAATGTTGAAAAAAATAATCATGAGCACCACACTGCAAACTGGCCATACAATGGAGCAAGACTGACACGGATAGATCTCTGTGCTGAGATCCCCCCAATTTAAATAAAATGTTTGTTACAAAGCTGCCAGAATACAATTGCTTCAAACCATTACTGAACTTGGTATTCTTAGAAAAATGCTCACTTCTATTGCGTACATACCTGCTGATGTAAGCGAAGCTTATCTTCTTCCAGTTGTTTGATTTTTGACCTTTCTAGCTCCAGCTGGTGTGCACATTCCTCCCTGGCTCGACGCACAGAATCCTGAAGCACCTGCAGATTCCGTTCATGCTCTGCTTGCAGCTCCTTCTTTACTCTTTGAAGCTTAAAAAGAGACACATATTTACATTAATCCATAGGAGTGAGAGTTTCATTGAAAAGTCTTACAACTGTTACTGCTATTCATGACAGAAAAATTGGTATTAATTTCTGAAATAATAAAATTCCCATTGTCCAAATGTTCACTATATATGTTCTTACTGAATTTCAGTTTAACTAACAATTTGCCAATTACTGTATTTGCTACAAATATACTCTTGCTTGACTACTGTAAAAACAGCTCTCTGGAGCTCTTTTGTACAATCCAAATGATTCTACATGATTGCTCAAGGCAGGTTTCACTTCCACCTTCCTACAAAGTGAAAAGCTAAATACTCCAATTCACTGCAGAGACTGTGAAAGTCACAGCTGCAGCCAAAAAGTCTTTACGTCAGTGAGTATGCTTCAAACTGAGCATATTGAGATAATTTCTCATCAAGATAAACAGAAGAAAAATCCTTGACATGTTTGAACTTTCTAGAAAGATGCTGCTGTCCCAGATAACTGCTAGCTGAATAGAAACTTCTCCAATGGCCTGTTTCTCAAACTGTAATTTGCTAACTGAACACTACATCACTTTGTAGGTGTTTTTTGAGTCCACTCATTTTTATCATCTCTAGCTCTCAGGTTACAATCTTACTAAACTTCACGAAAGTTTTTAGAGAAATATACATGAGATTCAAAATAACTACTTCTACTCAGACTGAAATGCACTTGGCCCAACCTCAGCACCAGATTTTTTTGCACAGATGCTGAAATCAAAACATTATTTACAGCACAAACTGCATCTTGTAGTACAGATAGCCTGGGTACTGAACAGCAAATTTCTGTGTTGGGAGTTCTCACTTTTGCTACAAGAACAGAAGGGATTAGGCTGGAAAAATTAATCTTATACAAAGAGGAAAGATAAAGTTTTTTTTGACAGCTAAAACACCACTGTATTTTACCTGTATAATTTTGAATTTGTTCTGAAATACAAGAATAGGCAGTTTATTTTCTGTTTTCATATAACCAGCACCCCTGAAGTCACATACACTTTGCCAGATTGGGGGTGTTCAGTACAGTGGTAGTAACTGGTTTCTCCTGCAGCCTCTTTCACCCTGTCACTATTGGGAAAAAATAAACAGAAGTAGGAACTCTGAAAATGTTGGATAACAAAACCTGAAGTTTCTCCCAGATCTCCTTGTCACCTTCTCCTACTTCAACAATTAATCTAGCAATTACTTTTTCAAGCGAGGCACTGTTGTGTATGTGTACAACACTCACCTGACAGTGCTAAACTTAAAACAGAGATATGCTAATGTTACATAAATGTCTGCACTGACATTAATTCTGTCAAGAACAGAAGGTTTACACTTGAGTACTCTCTGTAATCCTAGCAACCCATTTAAAAGTTCACTCAATTTCTATTTCAGTAAAAAAGTGTAGCTGTAACAAAACTTGGCTTAATTGCTAGTGTTCCTCCACACATCACTATGAATGTGGCTAGTTACTATCTTATACACAATGTGTATCACAATGTGAAAACTCAAACCTTACAGAAGTAGCTAATGCAATTACATTGTTTAATATGACCAGTTTTTACCTCTGATTCAGCACTAAAAAGCTGTCGCTCTCGCTTATCCAGAGCCCTCAGGGTTTTCTGAAGCTGTCCTTCCAAAATATTATATTCTGCTACCTAAACAAAAGAGGAAAAAAAGTATAAAATATTGATAGTTTTTATAGTATATATATATTGATAGTTTTTATTTAGAAATTTCCATATAAAACAAATCTCCATCTCTTAATTAAGAACTTGCAATGGAGCACTTACTTCTAACTCATAGGCCATAGAAGGGCTTTTTGACCAGGCAAGTAAAATGCAATCAAAGAGCTCTCATATAAAGCAAACTAATCTTAGGAAATTTCTAACAAATACTCTACGATTAAAGGCTACTTTTAATTCTTTTGCACTGTTGTAGACTAGCTGCAAGCCTATCAGAAGGTGCAAAGGTTAATTACAGACCCTTTAATACATGTTACCAAATACCTTGCTAGATTTATAACAATTTAGACTTTCTGCAAATATAAGTAGGGATTTCCTTACCTTTTTCTTCACTAACGCCTCTCTCTCTCTGTCTCTTTTCTTCCATTCCTCTGCAAGTGCTTGCATATGGACCATTTCCTTCTTTTTAAGCTTTTAGGGGAAAAAAACCAAAAACAAAATCCCCAAACCAGATCAGAATTTCTGGAAGCGCACCTTTAGAGTACTAGCAGACCTAAGTCTTGAAGCAAAAGAGTTTAGTATGCTGACTTTTGTAGCTCAAGATACGATTCTGACAGTGAAAGACATCTTAAACTGAAGTACAAAATGCAAAGTAAATGCATGTTTGAGAAAAATATCCGAAGTACTAGATTTTCACTACCTTCTAAAAAGCAAACAAAAACACCTAGAATGACCTCAACAGTAGACAGCAATGGTTTTTGAGCTGCAACTAACAGAATACAGAATTAATATTTAACATCAATAGTTTGAATCTTGAATCTATTGTACTTTATAAAGAGTAATGGGAAAATGTGAAGACGGTATTCTGCAGTTCAAACCCAGCACCTTCTTCACTTAAGAATTAACCTTCTTCCTTAAGTAAGAGCATGGAATTTGTGAATGGAGTTTACATGTGAAGTTTTAATATTCTGTATGAGTAAAATTTAGTTCTTACTTGAAATGGTACAATAAAATATAATTAAGGTTATTCTCTGTACCAATTCTGCTAAAATTTCTCTGGCAATCACAAAATTTAGGCAATAAAAAAAGAGAGTAAAAACCTGATTTTCAAAAATGTCCTCTTGCATTTCCTTCCACATTTCTAACTCCAGTGCTGCTTTGTATTCCAGAGTTTCTCGAGGTTCTGGATGGTCTTCTGGGGCACAGCAAAGCTGAGTGTGAGAGACATGCAGTTGTTGACCAGCACCTACATCCTGATATAATAAGAGTGGATTTTAATTTGGAACCTCAACTTGTCAAAGACATGTTCAAAGGAAAAATAAAAGATTTATATAAAATTTACTTGAGAAGAATCTGACACCATAACTTCTTGCACTTTGACAAGTCCGTAGTCTTCCAAGGTGATGGTGTACGAAAGCTCTGCTATTCTGCTGCCTGACCTACAAATAGCATTAGAATTTTAATTAAAACGGTCTAAAGATATGGAAAAAGAATTGTAAGACAACACACAAAACAGCACAGCTGAAGTTGTTTTGTGCAAGCTCAGCATCTCTAAACACTTGCCTATGTGAGAGCTCTCCAGTATCTATTGTTAAGTTAGGGACTAGTTTCTGAATGTATGGCAAGCCTTCTGACTTAAACAGATAACTTGTCATTGGAAACCTATTTAACTAACAAATTACTATAATCATCACATCCCTGCAACGAGGGAATAATCCAAAATTGTACCTACACTCCTAAACCTTTCTAATGATGTAACTGTTCATACACAGGCACTGCTTCTGACTTCAACTTAAGATACTCTTTAAATTTTCTTAGCTTTCCTTGTTTAGACTTCAACAGTAACCTTCTAGTTATCCACAATATAAGTAAGTTAGTATATAATTTGTGGTAAAACATCCTGGGATTATTAAAAAACACATTTCTGGAAGTTTCAGCATAGGGAACTGGTAACTTTCAATCACAAAGATGTTACAATATCTACCTGCCCTTGTACAGTGAATACAGTTTAACAATACAATAACAGGTATTTTAATAAATTAATTTGAAAATAATTATAGTTTCCGCTTAAGAACAGTTTGTTTTCAACTGCCTCGTCTCTAATCACAGTCAAATTGTAGCAAACAAAGCCAGTCTTTTGCACAGAAAGGTACTAAGAGAAGAAACATAAAGAAGTCATGTAACTGGAAATTATCAAAAGTCTCACATGAAAGTACACTGAAGTGTAGACCTTGGTCAAAACAAAACCTCTCATTTCAGTGATAATCACTCAGTAAGGCAAGTTACACTTGTCACCTGGAAGCTGCAGAATATATCAAGCAACAAGATGCTGAAGGAAATAACCACAGCTATAGGTTTCACAGAAATTCACTTTCAGCAGATAGATTAGATGACATTAAAATGCTTCTTACAAGGGTGCAGCCTTCTACACTATACTTCTATTTGCAAAGGAAAAAAACCCAATAAATGCTTGTACTTCACTTAAAATAAATTGCTGCATTAAATTCTTACAACTTTCCATCGGCTACTCACTAAAAAAGAAAACAAGATTTGTATTAGTTGACCTCAGAAATCTGAGCAAATGATTCAACACATCTGTTGAACATATCAATGTAAAAAGAAGGTTACACCAACAAGAGCAAGGATAGGAAGGGGCCAGCACAGCAAAACACAGACCTGATTATATTTTGAGAATGCCATCTAGTGGTTATGTTTTGTGCAAAACCAGGTTTCACTTAACAAATGGTAAAAGTATGAACCTTAATGTAAAGTGAGACCTTAACGTAACTCTTCACAGAAGCAGGCCATGCTGCCTTTCCCACAGAAGTTTAAGCAAAGGCAGAGGTTAATTTTTTAAGTTGGGAGGAGAGAAGTTACCAATCACTAACATGAAATTTCCTGTGAGTTAAATATAAAATCCATTATTTAAAACTGTTGCATTAGCGGTTTAAAACGGATCTCAGTCTTAATAGCAATTATGTTTATTTTTAAGGGCATAATCAAGTTCCATCACTACCCAGAAAAGATGAGGGTCTAGACACTGATTGTGAACATTAATCATCTTCAACAAGGACACAGGACAGAAGTAACTACCAATCAAAAAAGAAAAAAATACACACACACAGATACATATATAAAAAACCCCATCACTGCTCTATGTAAATGAACATTTGTCTTCAGACAGAGTATTGGCTAATACTGCTGCTTCTGATGTACACAAGCTGAAATCCCTGCTACTATCCTGAAACAGGAGACACCTCCATTCTCTGGGTCTATCTGTCCTCCTAACTTTCACCAAAGTCAGTTGTATGTAAAAACATACTATGGACAAACAATGCTAAATACCTTATGGAATATCAACCCTTCCTATAATTGAGTAACTTACTTAAGGAAGTGCTTCAGTAACATTGTTTGTTTCTTAATCTGTCTGTGAAGTTTAATTTACCCAGGATCATGATTATATAAAGGCTTGTTACAATGGCTTTGGTAGTAGTGTACACATTGCTCAAAATGAAGTGGCAATTTAGATTTTCATGTCTTGGATGCCTATTCTCCCCCTGTGCATGCTGCAGTACTCTGCAGCCTGTTTACCTAATCAAAAAGCTATGCAAGAAAAGCTGTCTGTTTTTCAGAGAAATACCAAACAAACAACTCTAGAAAACTTGCTACAGAGCAAAGTATTTTTAAAATAGTTTTACCCTTGTGCTGCTGTGAAACTGACTGTTTCATTACAAGTCTGACGCCAGCATTGTTCACCATTCCCACCCAAGAAGCGGGTTTTTTCTGAAGCCAAAACATTTGAAAGCTGAAGCCTTGCCACTCCTAGAAGTAAGTCTTTGGCTGTTTTATCCTTGTGCCACAATTCAACCAGCAGAGGCAATCTGAAACAAAGAAGTGATCTTCATAACAGGCAACAAAATGAAAGAGGAGACATTCTTATTCAGAAAAACCTCATGTTCTTAAAGTAATTTCTTAAATCAATGATGGTTACAAAAGTCAAAAAATGAGTTGGTTTTACTGCTTTTCACTTAGAAGAATGAGACTGACTGACTTTGTATCTTCTCAATCACTTGGTTCAGATAATCATTCCTTTCTTCAATTAGGGAGTAACAGTGTTACAGTGAGTAACTGACAGAACAATGTTAACACAACATGACCATTTCCATTTATAAATACTTACAAATTAATTTTAACCATTGTCACTCAAAATACAGGTCCCCCCACTGCTACTTTGGTTTGTTTTGGTGTGTGTTTTTTTGGTTTTTTTTAACACCTTAATCATTTATTGAAAGCTGGTGGAAATACTAGGAGAACTGTTTTACAGCCCTCAACACTGCAAACTGCTTTCCAGGTACCTGCTGTATTTTCAAAGATATCATACAGTCACTGCATATTAAAAAGAAAAGAATTTCATATTTCAAGAAGTACTTTGTCAAAAATAATGCTATCAAGCTTGACTTGTAAAATTTACGGCAATTGTACTTGTTTCTGTAAGCAACAATACTTAAATATGCAAGAGAGAAAATCAAGAACTGTAGAATTCCGAATTCCTGACTTTAAATGATAATAGAGAAACTGGAAGAGTAAGCTATTAAGTATTTATTGGCATTAGCCCTTGAATTATTTACTAAAATCTAGCACTAATAATCTTAATGTTCCTGCACTTACAACAAAATCTAGAAAAGATAAGATAAAAAATTGCAAATTACTACCTGAAGAATGTATCTTGAAGCTGATGAGGTATAGTTGCAAAGTCAAATGCACAATATGACTTTGGAAGAAAGACTTCCATGTTCTTTCTAACTTCTACAGGTGGACTTGTCATAATAGGTGCGGCACTGCCAAAAAATGGGTACGAGTACCTAATAAAAACAATAACAAAAATAATGGTTCTATGAATAGGTAACTTTTTTGTACCTTCTGCAACAGGAAACCAGTTTAGACATCATTTAGTAAAGCACGACTTGCATCAAAGTTTGAGAAATTTATACCAGTACATTCAGCAACAGAACTTAGCTCTCAAGTATTCATGTCATCATTTCCTTCAGGAACAGTCCAGTTTCTTTACATTGGCTGTTGCTTTGACAAAATAATAACCTGTATGTGCACAACAAGATGAATTCATATTTTGCTAGAACTCTGCAATTATTATATAAAACTGAGCAGACAAACATAAGAAAAATTTATACTCATGGGTAGATTGTTAGTTGAGAACATCTATAATTGTGCCTACAGTTCAGACTAGACTAACATGCAATAACTAATAACTAGGTATACATATACACAGTGTCAGGACCATTAGAAAATTTCATTAGCTTTTTCATTTCCACAGTTTAATTGACTGAAAGGCAAGCCAAATCATTTTACCAATATGACTTAAAATGAAACTACTCTATTGGCAATTTCAGTGTATGATAAACTGTAACAAAGGGGAGGTCATGAACCTCTTAAACCTCATTTTATTCAAAGTGATGATGCCAGCTGTAAGCTAAGTTCCTAATAAAATAAAATCTGCATCAAATGATGCCTCTATATATAAAAATTGCATTCTTCACCTTTTGTGAAGAGCTGTTGAAAGAGCTTGTTTAGACTGGAATAAAATAATGCTTCCAGTTTACAGTGAATATGCAATTTTTTAACCCTGCAACTCTTCTTAATGTTTATGTATCTGGATGTTTTTCCTCTTCAGCTTCCTGCAATGTTCATCACTGACTATAAAAATTCAAGCACATAAAACAAAAAAACCTATGTGTTGTTACTGTTCTGAAACAAATTAACTATTGAAATGTTACACAACAGATTTTATGTGGCAAAATTCCATCCATTGCTTTCTGCATACTATTTAGTAATGTAGCCAATATGGAAAGACATTAATGGTGCACTCTGTCATAGCTGTATTTTAAAATATTCTAGCTCTACGTCTCATCCACCCCTTTTGACCTAGTTCAGACTGTATAAACCCCAAAAAACACCACCACAACTAGATTTCCCAGTGACTACTTAAAACTGCATTAATCAAGCTGTGCCAGAAAAGAGGTAGAGCAAATGGAGAGGCACCTCCCCAGTCAGAAATCCTCAATGCTTTCAGACTAAATCACCATGTGAAGACACATTTCATCACAAACATCAAAAACAACCCTGATGGAAATGAGAAGACAAATTGTATAAACTATTATTTATTACTCACTTCAAAGACACCATCAATAATTACTATAACGAAAGTAGAATTTATTTTTTAAACCATCAAATTCATCCCTGTATTTACAAATCTCTCAGAAATGCATTTAACTACACTGATTCTTCATTAGAACTAGAATGGACTTCCTTTGGATCCATACACAAACCAGTGATCTGTCTCTTACTAAAACACTGCGAAGAGTTCTGGGTGGAATGTGTGAAACTACAAAAAAAAAAAAAAAAAAAAAAAAAAAAAAAAAAAAAGAGAAAGAAAAAAAGAAAATTAAGAAAAAAGTCACTTAATTGATGAGCTGGAAATGGAGCCAGAAAGATTTAATACAGCAAAAGGCAAAGTTTTACACACCATCTTTAATGGTCAGTTCAGTGATAAGCCAGATGAACATTCTAAAGTATTTTGCCACTGAAAATCAGCCACATTTTAAAAGGCATGAAGAAGCAGAGAGGCACCATGCCAGCAGTCATCACTCATATTACAAAGGCTTTGTATTTTCCAAGAATAACAAAAACAAATTGTACCTTAAAATGCAATTTATTGGAAATCCAACTTCCAGACCACGTATACTTCTTAAGTCTATTGAAAAGCAAAAATGGTGAGAGGCTGCTGGAATGACAATTTTCTGTGCTGACACAGGCTCAGAAGAACTGGACACACCCACAGGGTTATGCTGAGATATTGCTACTGGACCTCTATCAGCTGAAAACACAAAAGAGAATTCATGTACATGTTTTATAACTTGTTCTGCCCAAAATAACAAAATATATCAAAGATTAGTGTCACATTTTAAATGCAAGTAGATAGGTTGCTTCCCTAAGAGATTTCTATTCCTTGTGAAATAAATGAATACTGTGAAAAATAACCACTCCTTCTGTAAGTTACTGCTTCCAAAGAAAAAAAAACCAAAAACCCAATATACTTTAAATCTTCTTACAGGACTGTAATATTTTTCCTTTCTTTATTAATCTTTGAAGCTATGTAAGGTTTAACTCGCCTATAAAAGTTTACGATAAGATGAAAGAAATTAAATTCTTCAGCAAGACCCTGTAAGACTGCAATTTATACTAATTTTTCATCGTCAACTTGATGGCATGCATAGGAAAAAAGTGTTTTAGAAATTTAGAGTTTTTTAAATTAACTAACTTCTTTAGGGGAATTACAAAGACAATCAGATTAACAGGTCAATTGTGCTCAAGTAAGGCAGCATCACCCTTGGCCCCAGCTGAGGTTTAGCCATTGAAGCAAACCAAAACATGCAAAGCACATCTGCTTCTGTCATAGAACCGACGCACTGTGATATCCATTTTCTAATTTAGAAGGCAGAAGCAACATTGAGTGCCAGCCGAATTGCATCCAGGCTTCTCATATCCTTACAATGAGACTCAATACTGCCTTCAGAGAGAAAAACATCAAACTACAAGTCCCACAGACAGGTCTCCAAAAGGAGTTCTTGAAAAATATTCAAGACATTTTGTTTAAGTCTTAAGGGCTCTTTGGGCTACCAAGCCTCTGCAAAAGAGGGAATGAAAGTATCAGATAAGAACTCAACGGCCTTTTGTAAGTGCTACTTGTTCTGATACTTCCTTCATAATTATTTAAACCATTTCCACTTCTGTAATTTTAAAGAAATACACCATTACTATCATTGACTTTATTCTTTCCTCCTTTTTTCAAGTGTTTTGCTTGCATTATTAATATTACAAAAAGAAAAAATGCTGTAATACTTCAACATCAGCTAGTTAACACAATGTATGAATGAAACAATTTTAAGTGATTCAGGTAGAATGTCAGTAGATTGCTTGGTGCAAAGAATGGGTTGAATGGAATTTAAAGATCATACAGCTTTTAAGTACATACAGCTTACTGTTAAATTTTAAGTTGGTACTATAGTCAAATTTAATTTAATGTACTAAATTCAATAAATTTTGCCTTACTGGGATTTTGCAGATCTGTCAGAGGTGACTTTGCTCTGCTCTGTGATTTCAAAGCTGGAAGCTCTTCAAAACACTGTCTGCTAACCTCTTGAGGGCAGCCAGCCACCAGCCCTGAAAGACAAATGTGAAATGACATGTTTTACATCTTAGCAAAACACAATTATAAAATTACTATTACTATCAATAAAAAAGTACAATCCTGGATTTCCTGACCAGAGATTCAAACCAACTGCTAGGTTCACAATACTTTCTTTTTACATTCCACATAAAGGACTTAATCCTTGCGTAGATAAGATCAGTTCAGATTAAAAAAATTTGGCTGAATAAGCAGACAAATCCTGAGAGCCCATTCTAGAACACAGAATTTCCTCTACAGAACTGGGTGTCTTTAGGACAAAGCTCAAAAGACCTGCAATACAAATATCATTAGAAAAACAATTTCGCTTTATTCATAAACTACCTCTTAAGAAGATTCATGTTCAGTAACATTTAGCAAAACAACATTTTTTGAGATTTATTCAGTTATTACGGTATTTATCTCTGTTCTTCCACTTTTCCACTTCCCAGTTCTGAAATCAGAAACGAGTCTTCCTATGGCTTGGGCTACCAAGTCCAAACAAAACAACCAAGTTGCTTGGTTTTGTCCAGGAACCTGTACTATATGAACATTTGTCTTCACAAACTATAAGCCACATAGTAAATTCCTTAGAAAACTCAAAAATCCCACATTACCCCGCTTTACTATTGAATAAATTAACATTAGACCATTTCATCTCATTGAGCAAGTCAGTTTCTTCCTAGGCATTGCACTAAACCTTCTCATTTACAACTCCAGAAAATTCCAAAACTTCTGGAATTGTTACAATTTTTCAAGCTTATGACCATCCACATGACTTGTAATCTATGCACCCCCAAATCTCTAATCAGGTTCTTGCAAGTGTACTTAACAACGATCATGATCAAATCACAACATTTATCCCCATTCTGTTACTTGTTTTATGCAAATGATTCTACTTTTTCTGAAATTTATCACCAGAAATGGGTTCTACTTTATGAATATACTAGGAAGGAGTAGTATATGATCTAAGATCACACTTAGTAACTGGGCAAAAAAATTATATACCACATACCCCTTTTCCTTGGTTTTGTGCCTTTTTCAAACTTAAGACTTTCCACTTCACTCTCTGTTGCTACATCTTCTTTTGAAGAACGCTGGTCAGCTTGAGATGGGACATTTTGGGATCTCTGCTGCTGGCTCTCTGTTTTTCCACTAACAGATGAAAGAACTTTCTCCTGTGGCTGCTTGGGTTCAGTTGTAGCATTTAAGGGAATTAAAGGCTGAATGAAATAATAGTTTTCTTATTGACCATAGCTCGCATTGAAAAATTCTCTCTATGACATTTCATAGTATGAGATTATTATTCAGACAAAGAAAAATGCCAATTCAAGGATTATTCATATAAAGCAATTAATTCCTTCAGTTTGTTTTTTATGCAAAAACCAGTCAAATATGTTTAAGAAACACCAATAATTTTTTAACATTAAATTGTGTCTAAACCAACAATGAACAAGTAAAACACACCTGGGTAGTCAAGTTCTCCCTTTGAAGAATTACAGATACCCCAACAGTAGGAGCCAGATCCAGAGGCAGTTGTGGCAGTTTCTCTTTAGCTCTATTTGGTGGAACAAGAACAAATGGTCCTTCTATTGCCACAGGGTGTTGGTCAATCTCCACATTTCCTCTCTTCAGCAGTCCAGACAGGGGAACTTCAGTGCTTCCAAGAGAGTGGTCCCCACAGCAAAGATGGATCTGCACACATACAAAGGTGCTAGAAAGTAACTGGTATGCGTGATTTGCACTGGAACCATCTGTGCATCCTCCACAAAAGGTAGCATAAATACAACAAGTTATCATCCCTAACCTAGTCCCTGCATGCTGAGAATAAGAACAGCTATGAAATGTCAGTTTTGAGCAGGTGGGATTTGCTCACTGATGGGGCAGCAGCAAACCACTGCACAGCCTTTCTGAGGACCTGTCGTATCATTCCCTCTGTAGCATAAATTCAGTACTCTGTGGCTTCTAAACACTGCAGAGATGCTTGCCCTTTAGGCACAGGCATATAAAATGCATAACTGCAAGGTAATGAAAAAGATTACTTGAAGGCTTTGGGCATATATTTAGACACCACTCAATTGGCAAGGATTTTTGGAATTAAGTAACTGTGGTTTTAATTCCCAGTAAATATAATCATTTGGAAACTTGATTCAACTGTTTTTTCCTTACACAGCTTCATATTTATATATACGAGTGAAAGATGGATCTTAAAAACAAAACCAGTACACACTAAAGTAATCTATTTTCCTCGAAGTTACTCTTTGAAACTCAAATACTAACTTGTTTTTTCCCAAATAAGAGTCACTTCAGTTTTGATTTCGCAGATCAGAACATTATATTCCCATCCTTAATATTTATTGCACTTAAGGAAAACTGTTGTGCTGAAGGTGTGAGCTGCAGTATAGGTATTTCAGTACACATATTTTTGTACACACATATAAATACAGTCATACAATACATATATATACACACTCTAGTCTGGCAACTAGCACCTTTTACAACCAAAGTCTTCATTTTTGGAACTATATATTAAAATTAAGAACCAGAACACAGTGCTGGTTCTATATATGATCCTATATCCTAAGATTTAAGATGCTGAGTGAGAACTCAAAGGAAGAAAATTGTAAATAAAAATGTGGATCTGACTGCAATAAAAAAAATTTTCTTTACACATGATGCAAAACATGCATAATTCCACAAATATGTATCATATATGTTATATTAAACACTTTAAGATTAGAGTAAGAATAAACTGCAAACACACCAGTGCATATGTTGCTCTAAAAATATTTAAACTTGAGGCAAAAAAAAAATTTGAAACAACACAAGATTTAAATAAAAACATCCTTAAACCACCCTGCATAAAAACCCTAGAATGATCAGTATAAACTTAAAGAAAAATAACTTTAAAATGGTCCAGATCCACAAATTACTTTGTATAATTACTACAGTCTTATTAACAGCTACATTATCAGAAATCCTACAACACCCTCATACAACAAAGCAGACCCTTGTTTTGTAATTTTGTAATTAGTTTGAGCCATGCACGGATTGCCATAAATACTCTAAGTACTACCTGATATTTATTCCACTTAGCTTGGAAAAGGCCCTTAAGTCTGCTGAGTCCAGCTGTTAACCTAACACTGCCAACTCACCACTAAACCATGTCCTCCATTTACAGGCAAGGCTAAAAAAGATAAGAAATATCCCAAAACAGCCCAAAAATGTCTGTAGTGTATTCAGAAACAGCATTTGGCTACAGAGCAGGGAAAAAAGAACTCGCATATCATTCACAAAGAGTGCTGAGGACAGTGATTTTAGAACTTAGGCTAGAGTGACCTGAGCAGCTGGTATGGGACTACCATGGGTAGCACAAAGCAGGACTCTGGATTGTAGATGGTCTGATTGCAGTGCAGGCCCCAAAGCTCAGAGCTCTTCAGAGAGCCACATTACTTCTTTAGGAAGATCATATTTCAGCAACAGCTTTTATCATGACATGTAAACCAGCTTGCTGTAATAGCAACTAATTAAAAACCAGCACTCCACCTGAGCTAGGAAAGTTGCTGCTATGGTTTCCCTCATATCAGCAAGACAATCAATTTATATTTGAGCAAAAATACTATAATACCATCTTATTTTTGGAAACAGAAATGCTTCACAGATACAACCTGAGACATACTCTATTTCCTTAAATTTAATTATTTGTTTTCATTCAAATTTGAAATTAAACAGCTTACCTGCAATTTTGACTGTGCACAAAAATAAACTTGAAGAACATCTACTGTACTACGTATTCGAACTGAAGCTCTTTCTGGCTCAAAGTTTGGATTAATTAAATCAGTGAAAAGTTCATTTGTGACATCATTTCCCAGTAATGAGTAGTAGAAAAAAAACTCAGGTTGTCGATCAGGGAGCTTCATAGTACTTGGAACTAACTGAAAGAGATGCAGAAGAGAATTATGTATCTCTTTCCTTGATGCAGAGTTACAGTAATTCTGAAGCACTACTTTGGAAATTAGAGCTTAAAGTGACCAGCTGACCTAAACCATAGCTTGCACTCCACATACAACTTATTATATCAATAGCCAAATAAAAAATGTTTTATTTTTTTTTAAGTAAAAAAGAACAAGTCTTGTCAACACCAAGGGCTGTAACTAACATGTATTTACTAACATCAAGTACTGGACAAATACTCAGAAATAAACCATGCCTTCATAAAATAATTCCAGTTATTAAATAATGCAGATTAGATACTGTTATATAATTTATGTGATTAAATAAAAGACTGAAACAGGCAAACAGCTATTTCATCCTGTAGGCAACTGCGAGTTCAATGCCTAAAGAGGCACAAGCCACAAACATGATCACAGTAAATTTTGCTTCTCAAGGTCCTACAATTCTGACATGGAAAATTATTTTCCCTGAAAAAAAGAAACATGACAAGTCTGACAAAAGTTTATCACACACCATGAGTTCTAGACCAATTAAAACAATGCTGTCAGTGTTGACAAGACAGCAGCTAAGGTCTAAAGCTGAAACAACTACTAGCATGCCACTTCATCCAAGCTAGTAGAGTCTTTCCCTCAGGCAACATATGAGCTCTGTCTTACATACTTGGAAAGCATTTCACCTTGTTTGAACTCCAATGCATGGGCACCACACTGAAGACTGGCATTATCCATACAGAAACTTCTTAAGCTATATTGCAGTAGAGAAGTATGCATTTCATAAGAATGCATCATTTGATGTAAATACAGGTTTAGTACATAAAAAGAATTATATTTCATCTGCAATCTGAAATGTTAAGGACTTAATAAATTTTTAAAATGAATATGAATTCACTTTGGGACAAGGTTATTCTTCGAAGTAAACTCAAGAAACCATAAAAAAACTAATTAAAAATGAGGAATGGGAGGGTGAAAATATTAATGTGGGATAACACTTCTTAAAAACTACACATAGCAAGAAACAGACCTGTTCCAACTGTGTGGCAAATGCAATGGTTACAGACAAGACAAAGTGATCTCTGCAATACTCTGCTGGTCCAATTTGATGATAGCCCTCTTCTTCATTCAAGACTGGCACAATACTTTTAGGGTCCAGTCCACGAAAAAGGGTTAGCACTAAGAGAGAAGAAATAAACATAAGTAACTAGTGGTCTTTGTAATTGCTGCAGCAATCTGGTATATAATTGCAATTTTATTTTTAAGCATTACACATGGAAATTACGTGTGGAAACAAAAATTACAAATAAAGATCTTGATGCTGTTACCAGAGTTTTGCAAAACACTAAGAAGTCCCTAGGTACACTTTGAAACAGCTACAAAAAATCTGAAATTAACTTTTATTCACAACTGTTAAATTGAACACCGTGCTAAACAGAATTCTACTTCCTATTTTTATTTTGTGTTACAATGAGAAACATTACACTGACTCTAAGTTTATTTCAGTAGGCTAGAGTATACCATGCTATTTCTTTACTTTGCTCATTAAAGAAAATGCAGGGCAGTAACTGCATATTGCATATTATTGGAACAAGTATGCTGTGCCATTCCACAGATCTTTAGACTGCTTCATTTAAAGATTTTTAATCTCAAGTCTTCAATGCATAAAACTCTGTATTCTGATTTGCTAGCTTTTGTTCTATAGTGCCAGTAATTCAACATATTCAGCCCTGAGGTTCCACCAAATAGAAATAATGACATAGCACTTTGTGAACAAAAAAGCTCTGTTTCAAATACTGGAAGCCTTAGACAACTTAAGTCAGTAAGGGGAAAGAGTGTATGAATACTAAATGGAAAAGTATCTGACCAGACTAGAACTGGGTAATACAGCTTTGTCATACCCAATGCCTGAAACATTAGCTTAACAACTCTGAAAACCTAGAAGTTTGTTTTTCCCCATCACATAAATATGATATTGACTAATTTTGACATGATGAAACAGAGGAAAAAGCTCGCGAACTTGTTTGTAGCAATTATTCCACAGAAAACATGAAATGGGAAACAGTGCTGAGTAATGGCAGAAAGGTCTTTTTATTTTTTTGCCAGTGTCATGAGGGATAGGAGAACTTGCAGACACAAGGACCAAATGGGAAGTGCAGACTAAGGAATCATTTAGAATAGTTCTTTGCCTCCTTTACAGACATTACAATATGGAAAGTTCCCTGTGTTTTGCTGTAAACCTGAAAGAATGGAGTAAGCTATCTAACACTGAAACTTAAATCCTGTCTTAGCCAATGTTGAAATGCAACCAAGTCAGTGAACTCTGGGCCAGAAGCTTATAAAACATTTACTGCACTGACCACAGCAGATAGATGACCGATTTAGAATTAGGGAAAATGTACCTTCAGGGCAAGACGACAAAGTATTGTAAGGTAAGCAGGAGAAAATCCACTAGTTGTACCAAAAGGCTAACTTTTCAAAAGTTAAGTAGATAGGCATTTGGGTGAGAGATCAGAGCAAGATGGAAATATATTTTTATTTTGGGACTCGTTAAATCAAGTTTCTAAGGCCTTGTTTTTGTTTTTTTAACACCTACTAACTTGCATTAAAAAAAAAACCAACAAAACACACAGATGAAAAAGTGACTTAAAGGCACAGCACAGAAAGGCACCGACTAGTGTTAACATTTGAGGTCCAATAGATTTTTGACACTTCTGATTTCCTTCAAGAAAAATAAACAAGAGAATCCAGAATTGGAATGAGTCCCAATAGTAAGCAGATATTATTACAAAGTATCTTAACAATAGTACATAATTTAAGTACCTAAAGATTAGAAGAGGAACCAACCAAAAAAGAATCAAGTGTACCCAGCAAATGAGACACTTCACTACTTTACTGTTTCAAGCCCAAACTACTGAAACTTTACCTCCTATAAAGAAGCTCTTTTCCTATTTCTTTCGTAATTTTCCAAAGCCCATAAACAGAAGTTAAATACCCAAGGGAGTTAACTATGAGACCCTGATTCTCATTTTAAATACCAGCTGGTTTGCAGAAGTCACACAATTACCACAGTAAAGAATCCTTGAAAAAGTTGCTCTACAAGGTACATTAATCAGCTGCAAAGGATTTGCACTGGAACTGCTGTGAAATTACAATTCTCTTGAGACTTAAAACAACAGATTTGCTACAAGTGATATGTAATCTGGCACAGGAAGATTTTTAATTCAAAGTGAGTGATGTCATGTTACTTACCGTTTCCTTCTCTAGGAGGTGCCTCCTTTGCTTTAAAATCATCAGCTAGGGCTTTTGAATCCGTCTCCAATGCAACACCAATTTGTATTTCAGGTTTAAACTTAGGGTACTTGTTACTAAGCAAAGGATACCATTTAGGTGCCTACAGAGTAAAAAACAAAAATAAGACCCAAAAGTGCTTAAATACAACAGAAAAAAAACTAGTATAATACTATTACAGAAAACAGTCTTAATCTAGCACTTCTACTTTATCATCTACAGAAATACACTTTGGTTTTTATTTCTAAAAATTTCTAAAGATTTGGTCTATTAGTATACTGTTGTACTAAAATATTCTATAGTATAGTTACTGGATGACTTGAACATATTGGTTTTTTTCCACTGACTTGTACAGTGCAAAGGTTAGATAGAGAAATAAACCATAAATCTCTACTTAGAAAATCTCCAAGTCCTCAATTGCAAAGTAAGTCAGATGCATTGAAAATGCTCTAGAAGAATGATACCAAAATAGGACACAGGCTTCTCATATGACCCATATCAATGTTATGTTCTGATCAAGATTAATACAAGGGACTTGGCTAATTAAATTTATATAAACAATTATACTGTGCTTACTCTATGCTGCATTGAAGGGCTAGAAACAATCACCTAACACATCATCTTCCATGGAGGCCACTATAAAAAAAACTTAAGACATGATTTGATGATGGAGATTCAATTCAACTGCTCCATATCTATTGCTTAGATAAAATTTGCCAGTTGATTAAATAATGAGACTGTGTAGATTAATTGGTTGCTAGTGATCCTGTTATTCAATTCAGAAGCAAGCAAGATTGGTGCCAACTGTATTTTTTCATTTGCGCATGTTATCCAAGTCAAGATGCCTCTCCTCTTAAGAAAAGCAACAAAATCCCCCATATATGATCAGTCATACTCCAAAATGAGACTCAAAAGTTTAGCCTATTCTTTAATTCAAATTATACTATCTGTAACAGCATAGTTGTCAAAACAATTTTTTAAGTATTTATAGCCCATAACGTACCTGTTTCTTTTCTGGTGCAGCCCTCAGATCCAGTACAATATAGCCTATATTCTCTTTAGCTGGAGATACAGGATCCAGTGCAAAACACTGGAGTTTGATAGGTGTACGCTGTAGTCTGAAATAGTAACACAGTTGAAATATTAAATATAAAATGTATCTCTGCAATTAGTTCTCAAAGATAGTTCATAAGTTTCCAGCAAGCCAATGACACAAACTCATTATATAACTAGTTTCATTAGGTCAGAAACTGAACTTATATTGAACATCAAGACATCACTAAATGATAGAATGAACAAATGGTTTAATATTTTAAGAGGAGTGCACTGGAGCCTCCATCTCAAGTGCTATTAAAAAGACATTAGCAACAAATAAATACTTCACTCATATAAAAGAAAAAAAGTACAGAGCCTCACACAAAATTTCTATTTCACTTGGAGGGGCATCTTAAAAACAGGACTTGTGGACAAGATTTTTGGGTAAAGCACTTGACTACTGCAAGGCACAGATAGGACATCTAGCACATGGCAAATGTAGACATCTTTTCCTGTCAAATAAATATGATACAGCATTTTTAACTTCTTTGATCATATGATCATAACATTACAACCTGCAAGTTGTAAGACCTGTGAAATGAAATAACACTTAAGGAAACATTCAATTTCTCAGCTTATCTCTGAAATTTTCAGAAACTATTTACACAGGCTTTTCAGACTTGAAATTAAGTTAATTTTGTGCCACAGTATACATAAGGAAGCTCGACTACAATGTTTGAATTACAGAACTATTAGTTTGCTCTAAGAGCCTGAGGGGTGTTTTTTAGTAGTGTGAAAATACACCCTTTAGAATTTTTAAACATCACTTATTTTGCCACACATTACCTTTTTTTGTACATTAGTACATTTTTCCACAACATTTTTGTAGCTGAAAGAAAGTTTCTAAAAAACAATTCAGATGACAGTAAACCAAAAATTGTATTTCACTAACTGCAAAGACAGAAAGTTAAATTTTATCTGCAAATTAGACTTCACTTTTTAACATTACCTGTGCTGATGAAGTGCTTTCCTATCAAGTTCCCAGGCCAATTCTGTAGCAAATTCTGGCTGATCAGTATGCTCCACAGGGTCAGTAGCCAACTGTTCACCATCTAACTTGGCTTCAACTATAAGCATGTGCTTGGGTCGTTTTGGGAAACAGCGCCCTGTAAAAGAATGGCATTGCATGTGCCATCACTAAAATTGGTGCAAGAGCTCAGACTGATGCCACAAATCAGTTACGTGAAATTAATTTCCCATGTCACCTTCCCTGCTCTGATCTTTAAAGAAAGAGTGTTTGCACTATGCAGAAATACGAAAGAACATAATATGAGACTACTTGTGAAGAAATCAGAAATTAAGTAACAAAGCAAAGTAGCAAGCAATTAAAATTATTTGAGAAATCTATGACTGGCAATAGGTAAGGGAGCAGGCGTGAAAAAGAGAGTGAATGTTTTACTTCAAGTGAAAATGTTATAATCTTATAAAAGTAGTGAATGGTGTTTCTCCTGCCACCTGCTGAAAAAAAAAAAAATCATTACCAGATTCGGAGAGTGCCTAAAACTGTACAGGATTAGTCCTGGGCTCAGGATCATCCACTATTCTGATATGAAATGACAAAAAGAAGTAAAAGTTTATTTATATCACAGTGTGAGGAGACGACACTACAAGCACATCAGACGGCAGGCAGGATCTTATTCAGGCAGGATCTTATTCGTAAGATCCTCTGGCAAACTACATAAATGGACAGAGGTAATAGGATTTACTTGGCAAACAAAAAGCATTCAGGCAAAACAACCCAAACCCCCACTAATCTCCAAAATAGCCCAAAAGAGGAAAAGACATCCTAACAAATAACTCACTCACGCACATACACAAATTAGACTGCAGAAACTAAAACCTGTAGAAATGCAAGATGACCGACGAAATATACGTTTGAGTCAACACTACCAAAAAAAGCTTAAGGTTGATTTCTACAAAGGGAGAGAAATACCAGAATAATACTACTGAAAAAACAAAACCAAACCAACAAAACCCAAATCCTCAGGGAACGACTAGTACTTTTCTCATTCACTTAAAACAATACATTGCGTAAATACCTCCAAAACCTAACAGAGGGCAGGCAACCCTGCCCTTAAGATAAGTACATCCAAAGCTTTATTAACAACATCGGTTTACTCAACGCTGCTCGGCTGACCCCGCTCATGCCACCAGAGAAAACACCTCGGAGGCAGGACCAGCCCTCACCTCCCTCTCGGGACACAGGGGACGCGCAGTGCCGGGAGGCCGTGACCCTCCCGCCCCTCACACTTACCCTCCAGCACGGAGACGACGATCAGCAGCCGATCAGCGGCTCTGGAGACCATCTCCCCGCTCCGCCCGGGCGCTGCCGGGGCCGGGAAGAGCGGCCACTCCCGAGGCGGAGCGGAGAGAACCGGGAGCGCTCGGCCCGCCTTGCCGCCACCAGCCGCCCTTTTGCCGCCGCGGAGCCTTTAAACACCAACCGCCGCCGCTTCCGCCCGGCAACGCTGGCCCCGCCGCTTCCGCCGCCGCCGCCGCCGCCGCCGCCGCCTCCGCCCCAGCACCGCCCAGACACCGCCCCGTATCGCTCCGTACGGCCACTCCCGGGCTCCAGCACCGCCCCAGCACCGCCCAGACACCGCCCCGTATCGCTCCGTATCGCCACTCCCGGGCTCCAGCACGGCTCCAGCACCGCCCCAGCACCGCCCAGACACCGCTCCGCATCGCTCCGTACCGCCACTCCCGGGCCCCGCACCGCCCCGGTACCGCCCCGCACCGCCCCGACACGACCACTCCCGGGCCCCAGCACCGCCCCGCACCGCTACTCATGGGCTCCAATCTCCAGCTGGGCCACAGCACCGCCCCATGGTCTCAGGGCGAGCAGCAGGGCCGAGGCGCGGAGTGTCAGACGGGGGCCTGGAACCGTAGTCGCAAACCTTACAAATAGATGTATAAGAAGGTTTTTCAAAGGCACTCTGCACTGCCAGTGGAGGAATGCCAGCTGCTTCAAAGACGTGCTTTCTGTTAAAGCGGGGAAGTTTCTTTGTTTTTCGCTCGCCACTGTGATGAGCGTCAGAGCAGGAGAATTTGAATCCAGTCGTAGTGAAACGCAGCTTTGTCCTCCTTAGGTAATTTTTTAGAGGATTGTGTCCCATACAAAGTAATAATCAGGTAAGCAGCAATATCACGAAAGTGTGTCCCTGCACTTAGCATCCCAAGTTAAACACATACGTCGTGACTGTGAGGCAAAACACCCCATTTTTAAGTTTACAGTATTTTTTTAGTAGATGGCCTATCAAAATTTTTGTGTAGACATAAAATCCTTGAGTTTTAGTAACACATGTACTCTGTGAAGTTGCTGAGTCACGATTTGTGAATACCAGGAGAGGGAGAACCTGTTTTCCTTCTGCAAGGATTTTATTCTGGTTCTGAAACACTTCTCAAAAAGACACTTTCTTATGTCTGAGTTGAATCTGCCCAGGTTCAGTTCTGGCTTCTCCTTTTTGTTGGGTCATCTTCAGGTGTATAACACTGCACGTGACACAGCAACTCTCTATCTCTCCATACTGAGTCCTTAAATTTCTATCACTGTCACCTTCTGCAAGCCAGGTTGTAGGTACGTTTTACAGATACTTTTTACACAAAACCTGGAGGCAGACCTCTGAAAAGTGATTTTGGCTAGTGAGGGTACCTGATCCTGGACAATAACAAAAATATACAGTTTATCTGTACAGCTTTTTTATTTGAAAATTTATGTCTCTTGGTGTGATTCAATAAAATAATATTCTTGTGAACCACTGTTGAATAAACAATCACTTCTTCTTGTAACTGTACATGGATTTGCTTTTTGCCTATTTAGCAAGTTGGACTGGTTCAGCAGAGGGTCAGAAAAATGTCAGAGCCAGCACAAAAGACTGAGAGCATGTGACTAACAATGCTGGTTTATGGGTATTTATGTCTGCACATGGCAAAGCATCTCTCCTTTTGGTAATAGCAAACCTTTAAATCAGGTCACCTAACTCATGGAACTTTATTCTTTGACATTCTCTCCTGGCTCTAACTTGACTTTTATTTTCATGTAACAGGTATTAACTGTCCCAAGAGCCTCATCACTATAAACTTTTCAGTAAAGACTTTTCTTTTTTTTTTTTTTTTTTTTTTATAAAAGGAGGAGATAGAAGGAGAGAAAAAAAGACATGAAAAATACAATGGGACCATCTTGGTATTATCATCTACATTTACTTTGCAGTACACCAAGTCTTTCTCTATTCATCCGAGAACCACCAAAGATTGTTTTCTTATTGTGCTATCATAGTCTTGCTAACTTGTGTCTCACCTTGTGCATTTGCCTGCTGAGGTGTCAGATGCAGGATGTGCCCTATGTGAGAGCCCTGGCAGTGGGCACACCTGTGGGACGTGTGCCCAGGCAGAGGAACACCTCTGCTTAGTGACAGAACTGTGGGAGGAGGTGAGCACATTAAGCAGCATCAGAGGGTCTGAGTGAGAGACAGACTACTCGAAAAACCCCCTACCTTCCCAGGGACCAATCTGTCAGGCAGATAGGGTGCATGATACAGGGGATTCCCTATCCTGTCTTTAATCTGCAGAACATAATGACTTAAGAGATGGGGGGGAAATGGTGACAATTTCCTGCCTTGCACAGGGGAACGTCCCTTCCATTACTACCCCACCCTCCCAGGTGCCCTGGTATATAACAGGTACAAGGCTCTGCAAGTGCAGCTGAACAGCAACAAGAGGGATTGTTCATCTAGGTTAGAGATGTCGCTGAGGTTAAGTCAGCTTAAGTCACTCCCTGGGTCAAGACTGCTTCCGTACAGAAAAAGAAGAAAGACGTGTTACTGTCATAGGAGACTTTCTTCTGAGAGGAACAAAAACCCCAATATGCACACTGGATCCACTTCTTAAAGAAAGTCTGCTGCCCCTCACAGCCTATGTTAACGACATTAGGAGGAAATTTTGTACTCTGGTACAGCCCTCAGATTATTAACTATTAATACTTTTTCAAGCAGGCAGTGATGAAATTGCAATAAGAAGTCTAAGGGCAATCAAAAAGGCAATTCAGCATCTTGAGACTAACTGGTTAAGGGATCAGGAGCACATGTAAAATTCTCCTCTATTGTTCCAGTTGCAGGGAATGATGAAGGAAGAAACAGGAAGCAGATCAAGAGAATAACAGATCAGTATCTGAATCTGAGACTGATCAGACTGGTCCATGGCAGAATTTTGTGGGTTTTGATCATCATGGTGCTCCCAGTCTTATTTCTAGCGAGCCTGGTTTTATCCCCTTTCCTCTTCACATCTAGTTTAAAACTCCTTTAATGAGGCCTGTTAACTCCTGAGTGAAGATCCTTTTCTCACTTTAAGACAGGTGTACCCCATTTGTCAGTAGCAGGCCTGATGATCAAAAATATTCAAGGGTGGTATGCAAGTGGACTAGCAGATTTCAGTTGTCCCTGTACTAATTTGCGCAGCAGGGGTGGGTTTTGAAGTGTTAGAAAGCATGGAAGCATCTGAGAACAGTCACACAGGAATTAGGTTTTCTTCCCCTAAAAAGGTGGAAGGATTGATAGCCCAACTAAAATGCATCTACACCAATGGAAAACATTTTGAAGCCCAAAAACTACAGTGTAAGCAATCATGAAGAAATGGTGGGATAACTTGTGCTTCTGGAATGTTGGAACAAGTGGCTATAAACTATTCAGAATCAGCAGACAAAGACAGCCCTCTTTAGGAAGTGGAGGGGTTAGGGAGTGTTTTCACTATCATCTAGAGCTTAGAGATGAAAGAGTAAAACATGCTTCATGGAAATTTGTTTTGCTTTTCTCTAAATGCGTTTATTGACTTCAAACTAAGGAAAACTCTGAAGTAAGGAAAACGCCAAACAGTAAGGACAACGTAATGACTCTCACACTTCAATAATTGTACCAGACGTGGAAAGGCATCTGAATGAAACAATATAAAGACAATGCTGGTAATGAAAAGATTTTGTATATTATTTCTATTCAGCACACTTCTTTTAATAATTTGTGAGACTGTTTTAATCTCTCTGAAATTATATAGACTTCAAACCCCCAAGATGCAACTGTAAAAACACCTAATCTACTGAGAACATCATAAAATGGCCTGTTTCAACTACAGTCAGTTTCTATTACATTAATGTGTTTGTCCATTTTCTTACTTTGATCTTTTAATTCACATTCAACAAATTAATGTTATTCAGTTTCTCTTTTAGCAACAGAATTAGAACTGTAGCACTTAAAGTATTCATTTGTCAATCTGTACTCAAATTTCTGTGATGAAGATAGAGACTTTCCAGTATCTTTTGCTTTATTACTATCTTCACCTATCCCGCATGTCTAAGTAAACAACATAATTAAATTCAGGTGACTACATATTATAAGCTAGCTCATAAAATCAAATAAAGTAGTGAATGCTAGGTACAATACTTCAGTTAGCATTGGTTACAAATTTTTTTTCATATAGACAATGGTTAAACTAATTATTGATTTAATAATTTATGAGTGCAATAATCAAATGCTTTAATCAACACTTTTTATGTTTATCTCTTTTGTTTAGAGCCTATTAAGTTTTAACAGTTCTTAAATAGTAAATTATTTTTCTTGGCATGGTTATTTTTTTCAATCACAGGTTCACTTCCCATGGACATGACATATCAATTTTTTTTCCTTGTCTTTTCTTATACCTCATTTTACGAAGTTATTCATTCCGCCTTCTTCACTTCATTCTCTTAAATACAAAAAATTAAAATATGTTTCTATTGACATTGAAAGATTTTTACTTGCTGCATTTCTAATTGGCTTAGGATCATGTATTTAGTTCTTATTAAACGTGTCCTGAAACTCCTTTTACAATCGAGGATTGTTCGTGCAGAAAGAATAGTAAATAGCTGTACCCCTTTGTAGGGGGAATTTAAATTGCATGTAAGTGGAATATGTATTCTAAAAATAGACTTATGGTTGTTTGGTTACACTTTGGAATACTTTGGGCATATCCTTAAGTGTTTCATTGTTTCTTATTGTAAAATAGCCTCAATATGAGCACACTTTATATGAAGTTTGAATATGAGAGACAAATTTTAAATACTGTCTTTAAGGCAAAATTTAGAACTCGAATCGCTGATCCACAGTGTATGACCTGGAGGAGAAAAAAAATAATTTGCACAAAGGATATTTGAATTGCAGAAGAAGGGAAGCTGAAGGCTCTTTTCAAAGATTAAATTAGAAAAGTAGTAAGTTTTATTCTTCTGAAAATGTGAGAAAAAAGAGTGAAATATACTTCTTCAAAAAAGTAATAAACTATTACTTTTTCTCCACTGACATGCGTAAATGGTGTAAATGTCACTGGAGAGTTTATTGTGATACCTAATTCTATTCACATGAGCTGTACTCATGGATATCATGTATCATGAATATCAATGAAAATTAGAAAAACTGTTGTACTTGCTTTGTGTGGCACGGTTTTCGCCGTGGGGGTTACAGGATTGTTGCAGTAAGAAGCTGCTCCCACATCCAATAAAGCTAATGCCAGCCATCTCCAAGCTGAACCCACTGCTGGCCAAGGCTGAGATATGAGGAATGGTAACAGCACCTCTGGGATAAGAGAGTTGGAAGGGAAAAGGCTGTG